TATATATATATATATATATATATATATATATATATATATATATATATATATATAAACTACTAGTATTTTGTACTACTATCCCTACTTCGAAGAAGTGAATGTGTGTATTTTATATTTTGCTTTGTGTGTTACCTGTTGTTTTGTCTGTACAGCACTTTGGTTGGCCTTGTTGCTGTTTTAAGTGCTTTATAAATAAAGTGGTATGGTATGGTATGGTGTGTGTGTGTGCGCATTTGTTTATATTGTATTTGGGGACTTAAACATCCTAATTGACTAGTCATTTGGGGACACCTTGGTAAATGGGGACTGAGTGCACAAAGGTGTAGGATACACAAAGCTTAAGTGATATTTGCTGATAGAAGTGTGTGTGTGTGTGTGTGTTTGTTCCACCAGACTTATTCTGTCTAATGTCCATGACTCATAATATTTACAGTTGGGTTATTTGGCTTTAATCCTCCCGGAAGATCCCAGAGAGAGAGAGAGAGAGATGAGAAGACCACCGCTGGAAAGTTGTTAGTTCTTATCTGGTCAGGATGGATGTGAACCATTTAAAAATCATTAAACTAAAGAACCATTCAATAGAGAGCACTTGGATTAATTTTGGTTGAAAATCTCATATTATTGAAATGTTTTTTATGTGACTCCTTGAGGTTTAAGTACAGAACATTTTTAAACAAGGTGTTACAAGGAAAACCAAAAAGCCACGTTAGAAACAATTTATTTATTAAGGTATTGGGGGATTTAAATAATCTTAAAAGCTATGAAAATCCAAATGCTAATAGCTGAGGGCAACATTTGATGTTTTGTTCTTTTTTCAGCTGTCAAGGAAGAAACTAGTGGCAAAATAATCCCTCTCTCCCTCTAATAATTCTGTATTATAAGATACTTTCAAATTAATATAATTTCCACAGACTAATAGTAAAATAGCACCACATGTTGGACACAAGTGCTTTAAAAAGTCAAGAAAATTGAATTTATTTTGCTACCATATATGTGTTTATGCATACGTGCGAGTTTATTTCACAACGTCACACAGTCGGGCATGGGATGAGAAGTTCTGGGACTTATTCCAAGGCCAGGTGAGGGGTGTCGGCAGGCACAAAGACACAGTAGCAGTGAGAGGCAGAGAGGAAGACACAGATGTCCAGTAACTGTTTTTAGAAACTGATTAAATAGAGCGTACTGTGCATCTCTCTGCGACAACAAACAAGCTACTTCCAGTAAATTCACTGTTCTCTCAGTCTGTATGGAGTCATGTTTTAGACTTTGGTCTTAAAGAGCAATGACCAATTGAAATAGAGCTTTTAACTCAAGATTAATGTCCAAAAATGCAAAAAAAATATTTTGTTCATATACCTTTGCACGCTCATTTTTTTGTAGTCAGTAACAAAGGACTTCAACTAGCTTTGATATGTTTTTTATCTCTATGCTGATATATCCTTATCAGCAAATATTCTGCCTGGCCAAAAAAAAGTTGCCACCTGGGTTTAACTAAGGAAATAGGTTCAAGCCTCCTATTGGATAATTACTGCATGGGCGATTATCTTTCAGCTGGCAACAAGTTATTTAACCCCAACAGGTGCAATGAGTTTCTTCTCATTTCTTAAACAACCATGTCGAAAGACACATCGCATGGTCGTGGAAAAGATGTCAGTCAGTTTGAGAAGGGTCAAATCATTGGCATGCATCAAGTAGAGAAAACATATAAGGAGATTGCAGAAACTACTAAAATTGGGTTAAGAACTGTCCAACGCATTATTAAAAACTGGAAGAATCGTGGGGACCCAATGTCTTCGAGGAAGAAATATGGCTGAAAAAAATTCTGAATGATAGTAATCGACGATCACTTAAATGTTTGGTGAAATCAAATGGAAGAAAAACAACAGTAGCACTCAAGGCTATGTTTAATAGTGAAAGTAAGAGCATTTTCACACATACAATGTGAAGGGAACTCAAGGGATTGGGACTGAACAGCTGTGTAGCCTTAACCTTCCTAGCGGGGCGAGATCCCGCACGCACTTATGATGTTAACGGGTCAGTTGTGACCCGTCTTAAATCAGCCAAAAAATGCCCTCAAAACAGTGTTTTTTTAAGAAGTATTAGAACACATCTCTAAAATAAATTTGTCTTATTATTTTGTTATATTAATATTATTAACCATAGTAACATTTATAGTGTTAAGGGTAAGTTTTGACCCATGTATATTTACGTCAAAAAAAGGAAGAAACATTTATTTTCAAACATTGAACTTTAATACCAATATAAAATAAAAAGCAGAACAAGTAATAATACAAAATACAGATTCAGAAAGACAAGAAAAAATCAAAATGAAATAAATACTCTTCTAGTTACAAACATGCTCTTTCTAGTTTCTTTCTGTCTTTCATGCATGCGTATGAACTTGCGTATGAACTTGCGTTGTGTTCAGATGCATGTGTTGCAAAAAGTGGCAGTTTTCCTATGTTCTTTGCATATGTATTTTCTGCAGTCAAGGCACAATGTGTTTGTTTTCCGGTCTTTATTGCTTGGGCACATCTGACACCTCTTTCGTTTTGAAGCAGGTGGAGTTGTGGGTGTGGTCGATGTTGAAGCCCGGCTGCCTGAAGGGCGTGTTGTCACTGATGCACTTTGTGCAGCTGATGATGTGGTTGGAGTGGTGCTCCGGAGCTGTCTGACAACGTTCGCAGTGGCTGGGTCTCGGGGTATCCGTTCCCTTCTCTCAATGTATGGCTTGATCAACAAATTTCCTAGCTCCTGAAGGAACAATCTCCGCTTGTGTTTTTTTTTGGCGTTCCACCCCAAGTCAATCTGGGTCCACAAGACAAATGCATTGTATGCAGACACATCTAGGATGTTGTAAAATACAACCATTGGCCATCTCCTGGTCATTCGCTGGCAAGTGTAGGTGGCAGTCAGCTTGTCCAGGGTGTCCACTCCTCCTTTGTTTTTATTGTAGTCCAGGATGATTTCAGGCTTTTTGTCACTTCTTGTTGACACAGCTGCATCTTTGTGAAGAGTGGACATAAGTACCACACTCCGGTTCTTTTTGGGACAGTATGAAACAACACTGGTGGTTTCTGTAAAAGCAAATTTTGAAGACAGTGGAGCCCTGTCTTTCACCTGCAAAATTTCAAGGGGCAGCTCAGGTTTGTTTTTTCTTATTGTGCCCACCATGGTAAGTTTCCTCTTGAGAAGTTCTTGTCCAAGATCATAGCTGGTGAAGAAATTGTCACACATGATATTGTGACCCCGCAGTCCAGTAGTCATATCAAGGATTACCCGTTTTCCTTGATTCTTCTCAGGGATGCCAGCTGCAAGTTTGCCTGTGTAAATCTGTAGATTCCAGGCATAGCTGGTTTTCGCATCACAGGCTGCCCAGATTTTTATGCCATATTTGCCTGGCTTACTGGGCATGTATTGTCGGAAGGGGCATTTTCCACGGAAAGGGAGAAGACGCTCATCCACTGTCACCTTTGGTCCTGGGTTGAACATCAGTGGAAGGAGCTTCACCCATCTATCCCAGACGTCTTTGATGGGAGCAAGCTTGTCAGACCGTGCTCTAGTATCTCTGTTGTCAAATCTGAGGACTCTTGAGATCATTTGAAAGGTCTGAAGTGACATTGTTGCGCGGAAAATACTCCTGCCTGTGGACACATCCCAGAGACTAGTAAGGGCCTCATTGCTGGATCTGTACACGCCAGCGAGAAGAAGAACACCAATAAAAGCATCCAGGCACTCCTCATCAATGTCCTTCCAAGTGTCACCGTGAACTTTTTTCCCTTCGCGGTTTATCATAGCAATGATGACTTTCTTTAGTGACAATGGCATAAACAAATCAAAGCATGTCTTGATGTCACTTACTCGTGTCACAGCAAACCTTGTAATCCCAGGGGTCATCTTCATAACATTTTCAGCAGCTTCCCTGCCATGTGAAACAGGAGGAATCGCACTCCAAGTGATGTTACCCTTTTTGGATTTATAGGTTTCAGTTACAGGAGCAGCTTCAGCACCTGTGCCCTCCTCATCCGACGAGTCTGTGTACTCTGATTCATATTCAATAGCATTGTCCTCCTCAGAAACGGGCTCATCTGTGTCACTAGGTGTGTCCTCTGCATCATTTTCAGCAAGGATGTGATCTAGAGCTTCTTGTACTGTGAATCTTCTCTTCATTTTGGTATGTAGCCAAGCTCTAGGTAAAATGGACTGTCTGTTTCTACATGTCTCTACATGCCCATGTAGAGACACACCCAGGTGGGTGTGTCTATCTAGGTCTGCCTATCAAGATGGGCATGGCTATCCAGGTAGGCTTATCTCTACATGGGCATGCCTCAACATGTCACTGCATCTACAGCTGGATGAACTTTTTCAGTTTTTGGGAGCAGAGTATGAGGGACTTATCAATAAAAGTAGTATGGATAAATGGGGATGTTTTGGTCAGTGAAGTAGACAAACAGGTAAAAACAGAAGGCCCTAACATATGTATGACAACGTTAGTGAGGTCACAGTGTGTTTATGATTTCAGTTTTGACACTGATTATTGGTTGATAGTCTTATACCATAACTGGGTCACAAATGACCCCAGCGCGGCAAGTGCGTGTTGTTCTATAAAAAATAAAAATTAAATTTAGTGAAAAAAAATATATATTTTTTTTATTTAAATAAAGGTTCCAGACAAAGTCAAAAAGCCTTGATGCAAAAAAAAATATTTAAAAGACAGTATCATGATTTAAAATTTAAAATGGGTCACTACGGACCCTAACATAGTAGGAAGGTTAAGAAAACCACAAATCAGAATGATGAGGCTAACCAGAAAACAAGGCTTCAATTTCTAGGGAGCATAAAGATTGGACTCTGGAGCAATGCAAGAAGGTCACGTGGTCTGATGAGTCCAGCTTTACCCTGTCCCAGAGTGATGGGTGTATCAGAGTAAGAAATTTTTGAACAAAGTAGATGCCATTTCCTGCATTCTGGTGTATTTTAACATGTTGTTAAACATCTACTTTTACCTACATACGTAAACACTTGATTCAATAGCAATTTTAGAGTTAATGGCACAACAAGAATTAGCCTGACCAACAGCTCTCCTTGTGTGAATAGAGTATGCTCATTCCTCTCACACATCCTTGCCTCCCACCCCCCACATCAAAAACTGCCGGAACTAACGTAGCGCTAAGCTAGCGGCGCGTAGTACAGACACATTAGCTAAGATGTTACAGATGTAGTGCTCTGTTTCTGTCACACATCCTAACCCCCCACCTCGTCAGTAACTGCCAGCACTAATGTGGCGCTAAACTAGTTCACAAAACAGAGGTGTCTGTCCCTCTTTCCCCCGTGAGCACCCTGCCAAGGCAGATGACCGAGGGGAAACGCTGCATGTGGTGTGGAGTTGTTGTAGGTAACCAGGAAAACCCAGAGTGGATTTTTAGTGGTTTGAGTATTTTCCTCAAGTGGAATGAAGTAGTTCACAAAGAAATAGAAAGTGCTGGGTGTACTAATATGTCATGGTAAATGTGGGTGGGGGTCCGAATTAATACTTTTTAAATGTGGGTGGGGGGGGGGGGGGACACGTCCCCTTCTTATACAATTGTTGTGACAGTTACTGTATGCTTAGGAGAGAAAAGCAACAGTAAGAATAGATACTCAACAATAGTGTGTTTGTGTTCAACTTCTGCAGCAGACATTTTAAGACCATCCATATGAGAACATTTGGCAAAGTTAAGGGAATTTTTTAACAACCCCTTTAAAGGATTAAAGTGTTTTTAGGATCAAAATGAGAATATTGCACAGCAACTTGGCTGTCAAGAATAATATCATATTCTTCCACTTGAGGTTTCCTCATGTTACAGGGACATTTTTCTAAGTTACTCATGCAGGCCAACAAATCAATCATGATGATGAGACAGATTCCATGAAAAAAAACAGGTCAATTTTTGCTTTTTCACAAACAGGATGTTACTAAACGCAAACAAACTGCAAGTGTTGAAATGATAAGAAAAAGAATATGTCGATGGAGCTTTATCTCATCAATATAATCATCACGTGTTAAAAACAGCAAAACTCTACAATTGTTTAAGATTTCCACACATTTCTGCCTCAGATGGGTTCATTATTCTGCTGATAGCCAAAACGATGCTAATGACTGATATTCATATATGCCTCTAACAATGAAAATATTTAAGATGTGGGAGGAAAGCATTTATTTAAGGTTATTATAGAATTAAATTCAATAAAAAATTATAAAATAAACCCATTAGACCCCTCCCCCCCCTCACACACACATACCATGACAATATTATAAGTGAAGCATTGTAGGAAAATATTTTATTTTTTTATGGGAAATAATTAATCCTGAGGTGATCCCTTTGTTACCGGCTCGATGTTCACTGTGCATCCCAGATAAAGCTGTACCAGCGTGGCGGCACTGGTGGGGTGGTAAGCTTGGGGGGGGGGGGGGGGGGTTCTGATGACACGATCTGAGCATGAGAGAGGATCAGGTCCCTAAGGAGGCAGTGACTCAGGCTTGGAGCACATCCAAACCAAACACACACAGGGTTAAATATAAATTACCTGCATCATGGTTTCATGGCAAATGGGGTGGGACAGTAAGGGGGTTGTTTCTACATTAGAGGGAGGGGTGGCTACAGGTATGAACAAATACAAAACCTTTAAAGAAAGAAGTGTGTAGTTTTGTATGTCATCCGTGGAACTCAAACAGTTTCAGGTTGCATGTTGATGGAATGACTCTGTTGGTTAACTGTGGGGATCTCGAGTGTCACCGAAAGCTGTGGGGGTTTCACGTTTCCACTCAGAATCTCTGACACTACTTGTTCTATTCCCTTCATCTGACTCCCTATTTTGGCTCATGACCAAAACCACATTGTTTTATACACAAAACAAAACCCCAGACATCAAAATGGTTGAACTAGATACATGTAGACCTTTGTGTCTTATCGCTAAAAAGTAGGATTTGTAAATCATAACGTGTTTATTCGAGATAACTTTGTTTTTTCACAAAGGTATTTATGACGTTGGATTTGAATAATCCTTATGTTAAGTGTTTCACCTTGCGCTAAACAGAACTAACAGTAAATTGTTATTAATCCAATGAAAACTATTGCACCAAAACATAAAAATAAGTACTTCTTTATTAATAAAATTAAAATAAATGTCTTTGACTTTGTCTCTCCCTGCAGGAGGACTGCAGAAACTACATCCGTCTACTGGAATTCATCGAAGATGGTCGACTCTACGTGTGTGGTACCTATGCCTTCGACCCCCAGTGTGCATTCCTGGTAAGTCCATCCATCATTGTTTCACCAACTGACTGGTGTGATCGATCAAAGCCGGGCACACTGGAAATAAATCACACAACAGCAACAGGACAGGGATTTATTCTGCAGGGATTTTCTATGCGAATGTGCATCTGCAAATGAATGTAAGTCCATGAAACTAAATCTAAAGGAGAAGCAGAAAGTAATGTTCACAGTCATGTTATGTAATGTGTTTTATTAACATGAATAGTCCTTTTAGACAATAATGGGTAACTTTTCATCTGAGAAAAGCATTTGTCTATTTTTGGATGTTTTTCCAACAAACGTTATTAAAGGCTTAGAGCATAATAAAACTGACTGATCACTAAAGCTCACTAATGAATCATCAAACAGTAAGGACAAATGTAACCATGCTGAACTTGTCTGGGTAATAATGTAGCTCGGTCCAAATAAATATCAACCTGTCAGTTTGTCTTTTATTCTTCTTATGATTAGTACTTTGTGTTGTGTTTAATGATAACCAGAACTGAATGCTGTTTGATCTGCATGTAACAAAATATGTACTGGTCAGAATCATGGGCTCATCACAGTGGGTACAGCACCTCATGCCTGTCTTCTCATAGAATGGTATACAGTACTGCACAATACACCGATGTTAGCAAAAGAAGTACATTATAATAAAAATATGTACCTGTATGGAACAAGATACGTACTGGTCAGAATCACGGGCTCATCATAGAGAGTACAGCACCTTATGAGGAATAGAATTGTACGTTAGCATCAAACTAGCAGATATTTTCTGGTGTGTAGTAGTCAAATACAAAGATATCAACTCATAACATGTACAATACAAATCTTATAATTGTCCTGAATTACCTAAGTACATTTTACTTTTTTCATTCATTCAACCTTTATTTAAACAGATAAATCACATCTTACAGTTAGTCTGTGATCATATAATGGACAAAGATCAACGTTACACCATTTTACCATAGTGCTAATATTACTGAACCCTTGCGCCTGTCTTCTCGTATAATGGAACCGTTGTCTGTGTTCACTACTCTTATTACATCCAACCATCAAGAGGGGGCGCTGTTTCACCCTTTTTATAAGAGCCAAATGAAAAGTAATGACAAGTGGAATCGTACACTGCATTAACTCTGTTACACAAAGACTAAGGGCTTATGTTTATTACCCATGGATCAACAAATTGGGTCTTGGTGTTTGTCCAGGGACGTCATGCCTCTTAGAGTTAGAAAGCCAGATTTGAGCTAACAACCTTCCTGGTCTTTTGAGCCATTGATATTGTATTTCAAGCATAGCCAGTTTATATTTAGACCTCTGTCTGGAACCCAAAAGTTAAAGGAGTGGAACCAACCTTCCCTGCTGTCTGGTTTTAGTAAGGTAGCTCTTACTTTGCTGCTGTTTGTTCAAATATTGCTCCCATAAATTGGGTCCAGATTACTTTAATTCCTAGCAATAAGAGAAGGCGGCAACATTTAGCCAGTGATATAAATAGTCTGGTTTTGAGCTGCACCTTTCTTTTGTCCTGCAGGAACCCTCCTCCTTCACTTTGGAGCAAAATGAGGATAGAGGGGTGAAGATGGAGACTGGGAAGGGCAAGTGCCCCTTTGAGCCCAGTCAACATTACACAGCAGTTATGGCAGGTAGGTTCTACTGGATCATCTAACAGTCTTGTTTGGTTTCAGCTTGACCAGCTGTTACAAATGTTTCCAGAGTGTAAGAGTGATCTTCTGTCTTTTTATGTTGTCTAGATGGTCTTCTGTACACAGCAGCCACCAGTAACTTCCTTGGAACACAGTTTGACATCTCCAGGGCAACGGGACCGGAGCAGGAGCGCATTAGGACTGAGCAATCCATCAACTGGCTCAGTGGTGAGATGCATACCCACAAAGTCTCACTTTCAGACGCACATTTGCAAACCTTCTGTTAGTGTTACACCTTGCCGTATAACTAAAGTTTTGTTTCTGTTTACATTGATGCAGACCCAAAGTTTGTCAGCTCTGCCTTCATAAAGCAGCCTGAGGACAATAATCCCACTGGAGACGACGATAACATCTATTTCTTCTTCACTGAGACAGCCAAAGAGTATGATCTGTACACCAAAGTCAAAGTGCCAAGAGTGGCACGAGTCTGCAAGGTAAACTTTACTTGTGTGAATGTTTATGAAGCATTCGCACTATTGTGATCCATTTTTCTTCTGTATGTTTTGAGATTCTCGTCCTGCAATTTTCAAACAATTTCAACAATTCATAGATCAAAATGTTCAGCTCTTTCAGGACAATCCTGCTCTGACTTTTGGTATTGGGGTAACTTTAACTTTTTGAAATATTTAGCCTTTTCTGTCATTTTTCATAGAAAATGAATTGAGATATTTTTACATCCTTCAAAAATCTTTAGATCTGTTTACAACCTTTTACTGCTTCTTTCACATTTTGTTCTGGTTCAGCTTCTTGTGCAAATTTAAACTTTTTTTCAGCTATTTTCAGCTAATTTCATCGTTTTTTTCCCACCGGCTGTCTTTTGCTCCTTCTAAATACACTTCTAAATTCTTTCTGCTAATTTCAGCTTGTTAAGCTCTTTTCAGCTTATTTCTGCAAGTTTCAGCTTTTTTTTCTTACTATTTCAGCTACTATATATCTGTGTTTTACGCTAATTTATGCCATTTCAGCTAATTCCACAGTTTTTGCATTCACTTACACTTTTTTTTTTAGCCCAGTTCAATCAAAATGTGCTCTTTCCACTACCTTCTTGTAATTTCAGCTTTTTTGTTTCTGAATTTTTTACCTGCTTTTTGGCTGTTTTTGTTTAGCTAACTTCAGCTTTTTAAAGAAAATTACCACTTTTTTGTGCTAATTTCTGCTGCTTTCAGCTTAATTGGGCAAATGTGTTCTTTCTGGGGTTTTTTTCCTGATACTTTAAGTTTTTTCTACCTTTTCATCTACCTTTAGCATTTTTTAGCAAATTTTAGCTGTTTTCAAATAAATTAAATTTTTTGTGGTAATTTCAGCTTGTTATGCTCCTTTCAGCTTTTTTCTGCTGGTTTCAGCTTTTTTCCCTCTGCTATTTCAGCTACTATTCAGCTGTTTTTATTCAAATTTTAGTTTTTTTTGGTGCTAATTCTACTTTTTTTAGCTCATTTCACCTCTTTCCAATTCCTTCCAGTAATTTAAGCTTCTTTTCAGCATTGTTATCCATCTATCCATCCATTATCTTTTACCCGCATCTTCCATTTTGGGTCATGGGGGTCGCCGGTGCCCATGTCCAGCAATCACTGTGCGAGGGGCGGGGTACACCCTGGATAGGTCACAAGTCCATCACAGGGACACATAGAGACAAATCAACATTGTTATTTTCAACAAATTTAAGCTTTTTTAAAGCTATTTTTTAAATTTGTGCTTATCTAACCTTAATTCAGCAAATATGTGTTCTTTCTGCTTTCTTCTGTTAAATTAGGCTTACTCATCCATTTCAACATGCTTTTTTAAGGCTAATTTCAGCTGTTTTTCAGCAAGTTCTTGTGGAATAAGCATGCACACTTCGTTTTTGCAGAAAATTCAGTTTCTCTAGTTTACAATGGCTGTGTGATGTGTTTGGACTGAAATTGTGTTGACTTCACATGTAGTCTGATGTGGGAGGGATGAAAACTCTGCAGCGACGTTGGACCACTTTTCTCAAAGCCCAGCTGGTGTGTGAGGACAAACCCAGTGGTCAACGCTTCAACATCCTGACAGACGTCTTCACAACTCAGCACATTCCAGGAGACCCCAGCAGCACACACTTCTATGGACTCTTCACCTCCCAGTGGTGAGTTAATTAAGCTCTTGGAAGAATCACACCCTTGAGCTTTTTTAAAATATACAGTATTTTGTTGTTTTAATCATAAATTGTCTCTACTGAAATCCAAGGAAAATGGAGATTGTTTGGGGATCAAAAAATGATCATTAGAATTATAGGGAAAATAACAGGACAATAAAAAATAAAGTCATTTAAGAGACATTTTTGTGATGTTTTACAGGGAGCCTGAAGATGTGTCAGCTGTGTGTGTTTTCAGTCTGTCTGACATCAGCAAAGTGATGGACGGTCCTTTCAAAGAGCTGAAGAAGCCGTATGAGAACTGGATTAATCCCGAGCCTGTTCCGACACCAAGGCCTGGACAGGTACTGGACGCTGCCGCCAAACAGCCTGTTACTGTCTCCATACAAATTAAGTTTAAAACAGATCATCCCTTTTTTTTTTTAGTGCCTGAACAATGCACTGAAGACTGAAGGAATTGAGTCCTCCCTGAAACTCCCTGACAAGGTGCTGACGTTCGTGCGAGACCACCCCCTGATGGAGAACAGCGTCACTGCAGCCCCCCTGTTAGTCCGGAAGGGAATCAGATACACCAAGCTGGCTGTAAACCTAAAAGGAAGTGCAGAGGAGCAACAAGCAGCCCTGCTACAACTTGGAACAGGTGAGAAGTGAAAAAAAATGTACGTATCTGGACTTCACTGTGCAAAAGTCTTGAACCACCATCGAATTCTTTATTCTTGTATAAAAGAATCAAAAATTGCCCAGAGCTTTTCAAAAAAGCCATAGACTCTAGGTTTTGTTCTGCCATTTCACTCCAGACCTTGTACAAAGTCATTTTTAAATGAATGTTTGCGTGACTGGCGTCAGCTCCTTACACAAAGTACCATATTTTCCAGATTATAAATTGCACTTTTTTTCATAGTTTGGCCAGTCCTGTGATGTACGGTCCAAGGCGACTTATATTATACCCCCCCCCCCCCCCCCCGCGCGCAAACATTCACCTAGAGACATCTGAGAAAAACTTAACACAAATAAAATGCCCCCTCCCCCCCAAAATACAAACAAACAAAAATACCCAATCCTATTCTGTAGATTACAAACTGAATGTAATGAAATATGCAGCCCAGAATAGTAATCAAGCAGCAGAAATAAAGTTTGGAGTGAGTGAGAACTGGTGAAAAGAAGAGGTTACTCTAACTGCAATGAAGAAAACGAAGAAAGCTCGGACTGAAAGCAAGATGGCCAGAGCCGGAGGAACGACTGAACAGAAGGGTGCTAGAAGAACGTGCTGCTGGGAGAGGCTTGTCGACGGCCCAGTTGCGTCTCCACGCCATCGCCGTTGCCAAGGAGATGAATATTAGGGTGTTTTCACACCTGATCGTCCGGTAGACTTGGTTTGATTCTTAACCAAAATTCAGACATTTCAGCTGGTGCGGTTTGCATTCACACTGCGCTGGGTCAATTGAGCCAACACGACTTTCAAGTCAAGGTCGAGAGTTTCCGTGAGTTCGTTAGAAAGCAGGTAGCGGAACACAACATGTCACTGGATCACGACGAAAAGAGGAGACCGAGCTTCATCTTCCTCCAGAGTTGGCAGAGTTGTTCAGAAGCGACACAGAAGATGAAGAATTCAATGGATTCAGTGATTTGGAATGAGATTGGTAAATTTACTGGTAAGTTGCTTGTCAGACTCGTTGGCTTCTTATATTAATTAAGCCTATTCAGGATCCCAATAAGTGCGATTTATATTCCGAAGCGACTTACATATGGGTATTTCCTCTTCATGTGGCATTTTTTGACTGATGCGATCTGTACTCTGGAGCGATGTACAGTACGGAAAATACAGTAGGTCTGTAATAAGGCCACAAAGACAAGCCCATCTTTAAGGTGGCAGTCCACAAATCAGAAATGAATCGTATCACATCTCATGACAACATAATCTGTCATTATAATCATGCCTTTGAGCTGCAGTCCCAATTTACCCAGCTTTATATGTCAACTGTTATGACTGCTACTACTTCTCTTCACAGCAGCAGCGGGTTAACTTCATAAATCACACTGATGACCAGAAAACAGACTCTTGGAGTGTTTTGTAAAAGAAACTACCTCCTTATCAAATATAAGAATAATTGAAACATTAAAAAAAACTTTTAAACTAAAATAATTCACTTGTTTAATGTCGACACATAAGAGATAATTTATTATCAATAGAATTTTAAGCTTTAGCTGCAGCATCCTTTTGCTAACATATCAGTAGCCAAAAATGGGCACCAACAGGGTGAAGAGCTGTTAGATGAAAACTTTAAACCTGTTGATGAAGTGAACGAATGGTGACGCATCTCTGCAGGTCTTGTGTCAAATCAAATTATTTTCCTGCTGAAGACAGTTTTTCATGGTACTAACATTTCTGCTTCTACAGATATAAAACAATGTGCACACCTTGCCAAGAAAATCCAACATAACTTTTTTCTGCTTGAACAATTTATATTCTAAGTAGCTTAAAAACAATGCTCCAAACAAATAATTCCTCTCAGATTGTTTTGGTACAAGGGAACGTGAAAAGCTGTCAAAGCCTTGTAAAAGAATGAAGGAAGTTTGAGAAATTATTGTTTAAAATCACTCAGAATTACAAGAAATCATAGCTCTAAGGAAGCAAGACTTTTGCACACTTTGGTTAAAAAAAAACCCAAGATGTAATAATTATTTTTTAACTGCGTTATTTTGTTTGCAAACTGAAATGAAAAGCAGTAAAATGTAAAACTTATTGTTGTTGCAGATCGTGGGGAGCTCCACCAGGTGGCAGTAGTGGGCCAGAATGCCACTTTACTCCAAGAGATTCCTCTTTTTGCTTCACAAGAGCCTGTTAATTATATAATCCTGCATCAGGTAAAGCACACCACGCACACATAACAGTCTGCTCTGTATAAAGTTATGTATTTTATTGGTTAGCGGTTCTGTAAAGGTTCTCTGTGTTTCCAGGGTGGCGCTCTGGTCAGCAGTCCTCTGTCGGTGGCTCGAGTCCAGACTCAGGGCTGTGATCTGTATCCAAGCTGTGAGGTTTGTGCCAGAGCCAGAGGACTGGGCTGCGTGTGGAGCGCAGGAAACGAAACCTGCCTGTCAACACAAGCAAAGTGAGTACAAAAACATCAAAATAAGAAGGTGGAAGTTTTCACTGAAAGATTTCTAGATTTAATAATAAAAAATAAAAAAAATAGCGGTGACAAATTCAAACCAATGTGTCAGAGTTTGTTTCAAACTTATGAAATTGACAAATGTACTTATTGTTTCGATATATTTCAGTTAGGCAGTAGAGACATTAAACACAAGTGAAAAATGGTTGTTTTTTAATATAATTTTATGTTAGTTATTACAAGTACAATATTAAGAACATGGAGGTGGAAAGATGACAGAAGGAAACCAAAACAAACTTTAAATGATATTCTGAATAAACGTTAAACTACACTCAAACTATATGATAATTTAAACTTTAAAATTAAAAAATTAAACGAGTTTAAAACTCACTTTACAAACTAAACTTAAGAAAATAATTTAACAAACTTCTAAACTAAAAACAACACTTTTAACACACTTCTAAATTTTAAACAAACTTTTAACAAACTAAAATAAAAAGGTATTTGACAAACTTCTAAACTTTAAACAAACACTAACCCAACTCTAAATAAAAAAAAGTTTAACAAACTAAACTTTCAACAAACTTTTAACAAACTTCAGAATTTTAAACAAACTTTTACCAAACTTGAAACACACTTTATGGAAACTAAACCCTAAATAAACCAGTACTAAACTTTAAACAAAGATAAAAACCCCTTTTATTAATTTAACAAGTAACAAATGGAAATGTAACAAACAATTTTCTAGCAAACCTAAAATATTTTTTGTTAAACTCTACCTTAAAAACTCGAACCGTAAACATTTATTTTTGTGTTTCAGCCCCGGTCCAGGTGATATTGTGGATAACGCTTTAAAAATGTGTCAAACATACGAAAGTAAGTATATTAATATCCTGATACATGCTCAAGTATTTTAAGTTTTTGTTTTTTAAATATAAGTGTTAATTTCATTTACGTAAAATAAATTGTATAATCAAGTTGCATGTTTATTTTAAAGAGTATATCTTCCAGAACAGTTAATTTATCTCTTTGGTTCTTGTTCTGACCTCCAGGCCGCTGCCACCCATCTACCATGGCGCTGAAAGTCTCCATGGGGCTACGTATCCTGCTGCCTTGTGTCCAGCTCTCTCCTCGGCCCTGTAGCTGGGAGTATCCTCCCCACAGACACACCAGGCAACACAACTCTGACTTAGAGGTGACTGTCGCAGAGGACAGTTTGGGGAAATACGTTTGCACATGCCAGGTATGCACAAACACAAAACTTCACACTTCAAAGATTTAATTATTTTTATTTTAAACACTTTTTTCTACACCATAGAATATTTTTGATGTCCTTTCTTTCGTGTGTCTGGTCAATTTGCTACAGGAGGGCGGACCAAATGTGAGAGACCCCACCCCCTGCCGCCGAGCAGCCTATCATCTGATGCTCGAGGAACCCAGCGTTGGAGGATGGGCCAGATCGAAAGAAGGTCGCCACGTTTTAGCCGTCTACATCCTCTTCTTCTTCATGGGCCTTTTGCTTGGCGCTGGCCTTTTCTACTTTGTGAACCAGAGGAAGCAAAATGCACTCCAGAAGCCTAATAGTTCACAGTTGTCGGAGAAGGAGCGGGAATTACTCAGCTCCACATCCACTCCGCAGTTCCCCAGCAGCTCCAGCTTGCTATCTTGCGGTTTCAGGATGACCGAAAAACGAAACGGAACAACTTCCACAACAACTACGACGACACTCCTCAGCAATCATGGTAACGGTGGTCAGCATGGAAACAGCTTCAGCGGCACAAATAACAGCAATGGACTGTATTCAAACTGCAAAACAAGTAGCAGCGAGCTAAAGCTCAGCTCTGAAAAATTAGCAGCAAACAGGGCGGGGGTGGGGGAGTCAGGGCAGGGGGATGAAATAGATAAAGGGTTGGGAGATGGGTTAGGGGAAGTGTTGGACATAAACGAGACTGAATACAAAAACTTGTCTAGATCTCAAGCACCACTGGCCAAGTGTGAAGAAAGCTCAATATGAAAATAAAAAAGAATCCGACTTTGAAGAGTTTTGCAGGATCCAAATAAACTGAGAACCAGTGGGGATAAATGCAAAATGCGGTACTGCCCAATGCCTTTGCATAGGAGCTGTGGCATGAAGAGATTCATGAGGACAAGTTTATGACAAAGCATGTTCAAAAAAAACTTTTATATACGACGAGATGTGCACAGCACAAAACAAAACTGTGTGTGATAATAAGACCACTTATTGTTAGTCACTCAGGAGAGACACGGTTTAAAAATGCTTTGGATGTAAATTAAAAATAGAAACAGCGAAGTGAACTGTGAAAACAAGAAATCAAAGATGAAACGTCTACTTGTGTAGACGTGGAAAAGCCATATGTTGTTGTTGTGCAGTTTCTCACACACTTTTCTTGAAGGAGCTGCAAAGGGAAAGTGCACTTTTGTCTCTTCCTCCTTAATCCATTTGTGTGAGCTCATGACAAAAACCTGGATCCACCAAAGGACTGGTCAGCAAGGAGCGCCCGGTAACACCGCACTGGTCCCAGGAATGAAAGGTGTCACCGTCAACAACTGATTCATCATAAATTCTTTGCGACCTTCAGGAAACAAAGACACGGCTGTTCCTGTGCACACTGCAGTGGGTCTCAAGAGGTTCAAAGTTTAAAGATCAGAAAAACGACTGAAACAGAACAGAAGTTGAATGTCTTTCACGTGATTTCAGTCTTGGAGAAAGGACCTTTTCTAACTCAAAAAAGCCACTTTCACCTCATTTTCTGTGTGGATTTAAACATAAATGTATTGTTTTTTTGTCAAGTTGTTTTATAATAAAATAAAAACCAGTTGCTGATGTTCTGCTGCCATTTTGACTGTCAAAAATACAAAAGGAAATTGTGTCTCTTGGAATGACCAAAATCCGAGAGTAAATTTGTCACGCGAAGGTACGTAATGTTCTCTGTTGCTAAAATTGAACGTGTGTGTGTGTGTGTGTTCCACTTGTCTGGAAAAGTGTTTTGTTTGTTTTCATTGTCTCTAATTCGCATGACTTCTCTCTATGACTAGAAGTGAGTCAGCATCACTAGTTTAACAACATGATTATGCGTTTTTTCACTGGATCAAGTTTTTCTAGTACAACACGCACATGGTTGGTAAATTTAGATTACGTCAGAACCAGGGGGCAGTTCAAGAATGCATCAGGTGATGTTCTATGAGAGACATGGATGATGACCAGATTAAACAGATCAAAACAAAAGTCGTGTGAAAATACCTGTCCCTGACAAATTAACAAAAACAAAATTACTTCAGTGTGCCCTATCTGTACACTTCATTTGTCTGTGGTTTTTATGCAAATTGGAATTTATTACTGGTCAGAGTGCAGTGAAAACAGTTTTATTACTGAAACGCCAAACTTCCCTGAATATTGTTTTGGTTAATATTTTTACGCCAAAGATTTATTTAACAACTTAATCATCATTTGTACATCTAGTTTCATTAAAGAAACATAAACAGTGTGTTAAAAATGTATAAGAAATGATTAAGAGGAATTTTCAATCATTGTTTTTTTAAATATAGTTTTAATAAAAACTTGTAATGAGACAAATGTTATGTTCATAAAAGACAAACTGTCACTTTACAAAAAATTAACTGCTTTATATCCAATACGTATAATGGACTTCTTATTTCTTTTAATAGAAATATCTTGATTGCCACATGAGGACTCCTAACGTGAACAAATAATGTAAAAAACATTACATCACAAGCGTAACAACTTCACATATCTTACATATTACAAATATCTTGCAGATAAATTTATTGTTACCCTTATAGTTCGTCGAAACAGCACTTCATTTTGTTTGTAAAGTGATTCAGTTAAAAGCAATTGTCTAACGTATATTTTCATGCCTTCAGGATGAACAGAGAAGCAGAAAATTTTCAGCTTAGGGACAAAGTCTGGAAGAATGTGTTTAAGAAGTATAAAGCAAAGAAGGCTGTTTTAAAAAAATGTATTTTATTTTTTGTGAAAGGATTCCAACAAATGTATTCATGTCTGTGCATCCTATTCAACTTCAAGTAGGTTTTATTGTCATTTCTTCACATGTGGTACATGAGGTGGAACGAAACTGTGTACACAGGATCCCAGTTACACACAAAAATAGCAAAAATATAAAATGTAAAAATAAACAGTAGTTAAGCATCTACGATATAAACTAAGAAATATGCTAAACACTAATAGGGCAAAACAATACGCCGAACAACTTCAGCACAAATATGAGTCTGTGTGAGTAGATGAGTACGAATGAATACAGCAGCGTGAAATTATCAACGGCATGAGATCAGCAGCGTGGATAATCAGCAGCACATGTCACCAATCAAAGCGGCATTACAGTGATTTTTTTTTCACAGTGATAATCCTGGTTAGGGATTTATGGTTCTAACAGCTTCAGGGTAGAAGCTGTTCCTAAGTTTAGTGGTTCTGCACTTAATGCTCCACAACCTCCTGCCTAAGGGGAGGGGGGGAAAAAAGTGTGTGTGCTGGGTGAGTGGGGTCCTTCATGATGCAGGTGGCCTGCTTTCTGCATCTGGAGTTGTAGATGTCTATGATGTTGAGAAGGCTGACTCCAACAGTCTTCTGTGCAGCCTTCACCACACATAATTAAATCATTAAACAACAGTATAAGTAGTCTGCAAAACCAGCCTCTGGGAAGTTCAAACCAGTGAATCCCTTGTCCCAGTCCCAAGCTCAGGAGTGACACAGTGAGAAAATAGTGAGGGTTGCATAAGAAAAGGCATCCGGTGTGAAACATTTTTGCCAAAATAAAAATGCAAGTTCATCCAAATGACACCATACCTGATTAGTTGAAGCCCAGGTTCAAAACGATAGCCACCAGTGCTATTGACAAACAAGGTGCTGGCAGAAATTGTACTACTGTTAGTCGAAGACCACGAGGAGGCAAACATGTCAGGAGACAGAGAGAAGAATGTAGGACTGAGGGTTGCAACTAAATGTGGGGACAGTGACAGGCAAAGGTAGAGAGCTGGCTGGCATGATGCAGAGAAGGAAGGTAGAAGTTTTATGTGTCCAAGAGATCAAGTGGAAGAGCAGCAAGGCTCGCAGCATTGGAGCAGGGTTCAAACTGTTTTACCATGGTGTGGATAGAAAGTAAAACGAAGTAGGTAGGGGTGGTCTTGGGGAGGCGTTTGCAAGTAATGTAGTATAAATTAAAAGAGTGTCGGATAGGGTGATGTGCCTGAAGCTAGAAGTAGAAGGTCTGATGCTAAACATTGTCAGTGGTTATGCTCCACATGTTGGATATGACGTAGAGAAGAAAAATAAATTTTGGACCTATCTGGATGAAGTGATGGAGAGTATTCCCAGGGAGGAGAGAGTGGTGATCGGAGCAGACCTGAATGAACATATTGGTGAAGAAAACAGAGGGGATGAGGAAGTGATGGGTAGATTTGGTGTCAAGGAAAGAAACCAGGAAGGACAGATGGTGATGAATTTTGCCCAGAGGTTGGAAATGGCTGTAGTCAACACTTATTTCCAAAAGAGGGAGGAACATAGAGCGACCTGTAAGAGTGGAGGAAGGAGGATGCCGGTCGACTACATTCTGTGTAGAAGAGGAAACCTGAGGGAGATTCGAGACTGTAAGGTTGTGGCAAGGGAGAGCATGGCCAGACAGCATCAGATGGTTGTGTGTAGTGATTGTTGTGAAGAAGAGAAAAAGAGTAAAATCAGAGAAGAAGCCCAAATGGTGGGACCTGAAGTAGGAAGAATGTTCTGAGAAATTCAGAGAGGAGCTGTTAAAGGGTCTGGGTAGAAAGAAATAGCTTTCAAATGACTAGTCTACTACAGCAACCATAATTAGAGAGACAGGTAGGAAGGTACTTGATGTGTCATCTGGACAGAGAATAGATGATAAGGAAACCTGGTGGTGAAATAGTGAAGTGCAGGAAGTTATCCTTTGGTTAGTCAAGAAGAAATATGACAGTGACAAGACTGAATAGAGAAGACAGGAATATACGGAGATGCAATGTAGAGTAAAGAGCAAAGAGGGAGGTAGCACATGCAAAGCAGAAGGTACATGATGAGTTGTGTAAGAAGGACACTAAGGCGGGAGGGACTGGTGAGACACAGGGATCAGGCTGGAAAGGATGTGCATCAACTTAGGCTTGTTAAAGATAGAAATGGTAAAGTTCTAACAAGGGAGGAGCATGATGGGAAAATAAAAAGGGTACTTTCATTAGCTAATGAAGGGGAGTGGTGGCGCAGAGGTTAGAGATGGTGGGCCTGTGATCGGAAGATTGCCAGTTCAACTCCCGGAACCAACAACATCAAAATGTGGGTGGGAATGGTGAAGCACCCACACCTGCCTCCACCTCATTTGCCCCACTCTGGGCCTTTGAGCAAGGCCCTTAACCTCCATCATCTGCTCCGTTGGCACCTAAGATAGCAGCTCTCTGCTCCACACAGAAGGCTGTGGTAGCTTGGTGGTCTGTGGTTGTGTCAGGAAGGACATCCGGTGTAAAAATAATTGCCAAGTCTTCATACAACTTAGTTCACTGTGGCATCACCCGAAGAAGGGAGCAGCTGAAAGAAGAAGAAGAAAAAAAAACTTTCAGCTGCTAAAGAAAGCAGCAGTTCATAAGAGGCTCAAAGACTGAGGATCAGAAATAATACAGAAAAAGGACAGAAGACAAATGTCTTTTAAGTGATTTCAGTGTTGGAGAATGGACATTTACTGACTCAAAGCCAACGTAATCTAAATTTTGGAGTGGATTTAAACATATATGTATGGTTTGTCATGTTTTTGTAATAAATTCTTGAACAGTTGCTGATATTCTGTTGCCATTTAGTGTCTCAAAAAAGTAAAGGTTTGTAGAAAATAGTGTCTCTTGGATGGACCAAAATATCCGAGTGCACAAAGGTGCACACAAAGATAAGTGATATCTGCTGATAGAAGTGAATGTGTTGTGTTTGTGTGTGCGCGCACACATTTGTTTATGATACATTTGGGGACTTAAACATGCTTACGCACCAGTCATTTCAGGACACCTTGGCAGTTGGGGACCGAGTGCACA